TCTCATACCACACTATAACGCATAGTTTTACTGATATAAGCAAAAAACCGATAAAAGTAAACTTTTTTTAATCGTAAATTCAATTTTTCGACTTGAAATCTACGAGTGTGGGGTAACTGACTTTTATTTCAGGTCTTAAGACTGTAAATAATATAAATTGAAAGTGTTGGTAGCTTTATATATCAATAAGCTCTCTCTCTCTCTATATATATATATACGTGTGCAACTTATGTAAGGTCTCTTCTATCTTCACATGGCCGCCATTTTGTATTTTAGCAGCTTGATATCTTCTCCAGGACGGACAGGTGCTTGCCAGCCAATGAATTGCTACGACCGTTGTCACATGCTTTAAATAAAAATATAATTCAAATAATATAAAGGTATCTATCGTTCCCCAATATTAAACATACAGTTAAAAATCAGAAGGCAACTCAACCGTTCCTGAACTATCTGTAAAATCGAAGTTTTCAACAATACTACTAATCGACAATTGGATATCTCTAAACTAAATTTCTGGTTGCTGCAGAGTTCAAAACTGAATATAAAAAAAAAACTCCCATAAAAGACCCCCATTGACATCATACATAGCCTGCATTGGACGTATCATTTCCTGAGACTTTTGCCGTATCGATCGAGGTCATGATTTTTCAATTGTATTTTTAGTATTAATAATTAATGTGTGAAATTAATAATGATTTGTAGTTTCAATTTATTTATCTCTCGATCAATTAATGGGAGAACGTAAAAAACTATTTATTAAAATACGATTTTTACTAAGTAGGAATAGCGATGTGGTTTTATAGTTTATAACAATATTGAAGGACTTATAATAATCAAGGCTGCAGCTTACATTAAAATTTCTTCGAATTACAATATCGTATATAACGGTTATAACGAGGTATCGGCTTTAACGACGAAAACGCTATGTTCGATGATTCAGATGGCTTTTATAATGTGATTTTGAATGGATATAACGATTGGATTTACTGACTCGATTTCTTAGAGTTTTTAGAAAAAATTATCGTATATAGCGACATTTGAACTTCTAAAAACCTTCGTGTTTATATCTCACTTATCGAGGAAATATTTTATTTCATTTGTTCTCTATGTACGAATCACATTTATAGGGCCAATTTCATTCTCACTCTTAGTGTTAAATTCATATTTCTTTTTAGTAGTTTAATAAGAATAACGCAGAGCAAAAAGTTCTAGATATAAGAAAAAGTCTATATATGTTGCCGACTGGAGACTGAAGTCTCTAATAATATCTTAGCTCTAGAATTCAACATAAATCTTACAATTTGAAAAATTACGAATCTATTCGAGGACATGCTGAATCAGTTATATCCAAAAAACAACGATTACTTATCTACGCATGACAAAATTGATTCTTCAAAATATTCCGCTATTAGACAAGGAACTATCGACAATTTTATTTAAAGGGAGGACTTATAGCTAGCTAGTAACCATTTTAAATTCTAGATAAACCTCATCTGAACACACAACTTCCTTCAGTCAGTTAAAAACTTGCTTTCTATACGAAAATTTAAATTAACGAGGCGAAATTTGACGGTCCATTTAACGGAAAAACTGACCGCTGAAATTTTGAAATGACGTAAAGAATATGTTCCTAAAAGGATACACCTTGAATGACGACGTCAAAGTCATCACATTAGGGCAGTTGTGTGGTAGTCGGTTGAAAAAAAAATTAAAATAGTCGCTATCTCTTCGTTTTTTTATGTTTTTTGGGGGTACTGATCTGAATTTGACGTTCTCGGATGAAATGTTCCATTGCGTATCGAGATATACGCAAAATTTTCGAACTTTTAGTAGTTTTTTGGGCATGATTCCGAAATTGTGCATTTTATCGAATTTATTATTATATACAACGTTAAAGAAGATTAAATTTACTATCAATTTTATGCATAGATTTTTGATGTTAGGGCTAACCAGTGAGCAGTAAGAGAATATTGACTGTTTGCATTTTTTACAAGAAAAATCTATTTTTGTCGGTTTTCCCACAAAACTCATAATCTATGCATCTATTGAAGAAATTCAATATAATCAATTTGAAAGAGCGTTAAGTTTCATATGTACCTCATACAGACACGTTAACATGTAAGAAGATTAAACGACTGTTAAAGCTCAGAGAATCGAAGTCGTATTTCCCTAATAGTATCTACCGCTCACAAACTAAGTGCTTTTTATCTCTTCAATGCTTTGTTTTCGGCTAATTTAAGTATTTAATAACAGAAATAGGATGTATAAACATATTACATAGCTCTTATATATTCTGTTGATATGCATAACAATCATCACTAAATTAAGGACCAAAATGCGTTTTAAAATCCGAGCGGTCAAACAATATTTTGCTCATTCGCATATTACAACTCTACCTAAGCATGAATAATGTGAAGCTGCCATCGTTTTCCTTTATTTAACCAATGAATAGATGTATACTTACAGATAGTAAATAGTATTGATATATTTTTCTTTTTTAAAGCGCACTGTTTTAACTCCAATTCGCTTACATTTTATTCATTACCCTTGTTTAATTCCAATATAACGGCCATGGCCGTTATTGATGATGACAAGTGGATAGATATAGGTAATATAACGATATAAACATGAAGATGGTCCGATCGTCTATAACAATTATACATTATAACAACAAATTTTACCAGGTCTCGTAAGGTCGTTATATTAATCCACTGTGTATTAATTCCAATTTAAAAAGAATGTTTTCGAATTTAAAAAAATTCCCTGACTTCAACAATTTTTCCCTGACTTCTCCCTGACTTTTCCCGTTTTTGAAAATTCCCTGACTTTTCCAGGTCGGTCGCCACCCTGTAATTATAAATAATAAACTATAGTGATTGATGGCACATGAATCTTAACTAATATTGTAATACACATATTAAAATTAAATATTAAAATAGTTATACAAACTAAAAATAAAAAATAATGTATATGATCCATTTATATAAATTTGTAATATTTTCTCTTACTCACCGTGGTTTGAGCACTGAGGTTATTCAAGTACTGACACATGTTTGGTAGGTAAGTAAAAAGGTCAGGGGTGGAGGATTTCCCAGTTGTCCTTTTTCAAATAGCAAAAGGTAGGTAAACAAGGTTAGAGGGGAAGGGGGGTAACATTTTTGTTTGTAGATTTGTCAGCCCTGAAGATGACCCACATGCTTGGGTTGAAACGTTGGCAAAAATAAAAATGTTAAAAAAGACTGTGTCCTGAATATTTATCACCCATTATATTTATTTCTGTGTATGATCTGAGCTAAGTACTTAAAAAATTACAATATGTATTTTTTAAGAATTATAACATATATAAAGTTATAAAATGTAAGCATGTGTTAAGAAAAAAAATATAAATATTTTATCCCTGAAAGCACTATTGTTTCTGTATTTCCTTTATTACCACCCTTACATTGCCCTACAGAGTAATCACCATTACTAAAATATTTATAATTTTTTTTTTTTTTATTAATTCTAGAAAAAAGCAATTTATTTTGTCACAAATGCAGCACAAAAAAAATTCCGTTTTTTTTTTTTTTAATTCCCGTACATTTCCTGGTTTGAGAAATTCCCGTAAAAATTTCCAGTTTTAAAGTCGCTAGACACCCGATTTATATATCTACAGGCCCTCTCTATACATACATTTTCTACCTGTTTAGGGTATCTGTTTTCGCCTGGCCGCCATTTTGTATTCCAGAGCGGCTATATGCTGGCAGATGTGCATTTTTCTCATCACGCCTATGGATATGGTCAATTTATAAGGACAAACCTTAATATGAAATAAGACACCTTTTTGGTCACGGGCTCCTGGACTATGAGAATTGTCCTAGTTCAGGGTACTAACATTTTTCCACTAAAACTGAGCAAGATGATTTCAAATATTTTTTTATTTCTTCAGCAGTACTTATAAATTTTCAAAAATCTTTCTTGAAACTTCCAAGTTAGCTTATCTTTCCTTCTAATAGAAGGAGGTTCTATCCCAGATAAGAGTTTCCTAAGGTTTATTTTGTCCCACCATAAGAGTTTCATCACAGTTATCAGTGTTGAATTCACCATTCATTATTTCAAACCATCTCTAGTTCCAGGTAGCTCAGCTTATTCAATAATAGGTCTGAAATATGCTTTGTAGGCAACAGATAATGGCTAAACAGAACGCATTCTGTCATAATAATCAGCAATCCATTCCTGCGGAGAGCTGGCCATTTAGTTGTAAATATCTATTACACAGAATGTGATCTATTATAGAGAGCCAAACTTGATCGCGGATAGCAGTAATTCATTCATACAAAATAAAAAAAATAATATGCTTTTGTGATGATTTCTGTACAATAGGAATCACAAAAAACAAAAAAGAAACAACACAAGAACAGTTAGGAAACACATGTATTTATACAATAATTCTCAACACAAAGATCTGAATAAAGCAAATGCGTGGAATGAAATTTCAGGAGAAACAAACATTATTATATTACTTCATGCAACTAACAAATCTTTTACTATTACATTGTAACACTAAAAGAAAGCATCACTTCTCGTTAGAACTACTCTTTCTCCCCAAAATCTACAAAAAGTACTGAACAGCTCACCAAAAAGCAATCAATATTGGGTCGCTCATAAATATATTGACCTGAGTGTGATGATGGTACCATATTGCTGACCTCCACAAATAACGTACGATTAGTTATCACCCATTGGTTTGTCTTTACATACAATGTAGAGAGCTGGAATACAGTTTTTTCATTTTATTTTGCTGCTGACTCTAAACAGCCATTCTCTTCAAACCTTATAATAATTTATTTTGATACTCGTGGAGACCACAAAGAGGCAACCAAAATCCACCCCTTTAAATAATGAGTAAACTTCATAATTTACAGATTTTTTTTTTAAGTCTAAAAACACTATATTTTGAAAACTTGAAATAAAAATAATAAACAAAACATTAAAAATCAACTGCATACAATTAATCTTACAATAATGTTCCTGGCGCAATGGTTCAAGGCAAGGAGCTTTCATTTCTTCATGAATCTGGTCTAAAAGACATCGCAAGAATTCCTGAGAATCATGTTGCTGGAAACCCCTATACATTGGATGGCTCTGTAAATAAAAACTTTTTTTAACACAATAAAAATATAATTTAGGATGAAAAATTATTTTCCAGTTGTCTATAGCCATGGGATTTACCGAAAAATCTTACAATGTTCAACGAATATGACAAAGTTTGGCAAATTTTATTTCAAATAATCAATAAAAATTATGAATAATTTTTTTATTTATTTATTTTATTTTTACTTTCACTTACCTATATGTGAAATATATAGTAAGGGAAAGTATTGCGATCGCGAAAATTTTTTAATCTGATTTTTCAACGGAAATACATGTTTTGAGGTCCCCTGAGTTAAAATAATCAAGTCCCGCAAAATGGTCTGTGTGTGAAATGAAATGAAAAAAATCGCCTAAGAATAATAATAGAGTTACAAATTTATGGATCTTAATAAAAATACAAACTGATTTACTGTTAATTGTTATTTCAATAGTACAATGGATTGAAATTAAACATTGTATAGATACAAGTAATTTTACATGTTAGGGGAAGTTTGAATGTGGAGTAGTTGTTGGAACAGGAGTTGTTTGAAGGAATTAGTGGAAGAGGATTGATGCATGGAGGTAGGAAGTGAGTTCCATAAGGAAACAGCACGAATGACGAAGGATTTGCTGAAGGAGGAAGTTTTATGGAAGGGAATATATAAGTCTATAGATTGAGACCTAGTATTGAGAGAGTGGATAGAGGAGCGTAGAGTAAGGAGTTCCAGGATGTAGGGAGGGTTTTTGGTTCTGAGGACTTGGGAAAGGAAAACACCAAGGAGGAATTGTCGTCGGGAAGTAGGATAAAGCCACTTCAACTCGGTGTACCAGAGTGAAACATGTGAACGCCTGGGGATCCCGAAAATGTATCTTATGAAACAATTCATGAGTCTCTTTAGTCTCATTTCCAGCCTGGCAGATAGCCCTCCATACACCAAACAGCCGTAGTCGAAGTGGGGGAATACAAGGGAGGTTACAAGGAGCTGTCTGGTTTTTAGAGGAATACAATCATGGAATCTTAGGAGTTGTTCAAGGGCAGTTATGGATTTTCAGGTAATCTGGGAGATTTGGTTATTCCAGGAGAGGTTCTGGTCAAAGGTTACTCCTAGGTTTTTGACTGTAGGGAAGAAATGGATGGGACGGTTATTGAGGTTAAGTAGAGGAAAGTAAGGAAGGGAGCTGATGAGATGTGTGGACCCGATGATAATAGCCTTGGTTTTATCTGCATTCAGCTTTAATTCATTTATTTCTGCCCATCTGTTGATGCAGTTGATGTCCTCTTGCAGCCTCCTGTGTGTGTGTGTGTGTGTGTGTGTGTGTGTGTGTGTGTGTGTGTGTGAGTTTTAACACTCTAGCTCAAAAACGAAAAGTCGTACGAAAGTTAATTTCATATATACGGTTTTTATATGCTTGGGATGTTATATCAACTTTTTCGACAAAATCGGCTAACCAAAAGAAGCACTTTATATCATGGACTAACACATTTTTACAATTTTCTCGAAAATGTCTATAACAATTATGAATAAATTTTTTATATCAGTGTAAAATTAAGCAGTTTTAAATAAAATGTAGGTTTTATTCTGGTTGATGTTCTCTAACAGGGCTTAAAAGGCTTTCAATGTTACCTTCTTCTAAAATACATATAATTTTTTTATTTGAAACAATTGACCATTTCACATTCATCTCTAAAAAGATAGTTAAATATAAAATATGATAGAATTTGATAATTAACTAAAGGAGAAATAAGAGATCGTAAGGGAGAATAGTTATAATTGAGGAAACAAAGGAGTGCAAGCGCACCTGTGCTTGCTTGAAAGATTAGAACTCGCTTGCATACATAAGATGAGCTTAATATAATAAGGACTCAATCAATATTATGTAAATATATATATGTATTTTTCGTAAATGCTATTGTTGGTATTATTTAATATTTAATTGTATAGATTACAGCAATATAAATTTTAAAATTTGTATATATAATATATCTATATATTACTTATACAAATAATAATACCCACAATGAAATAAAAATTAATATAGCATTTATAATTTTTACTTTCACTTCTCTTTTGTCTGAAAATACTTATTTCTGCTAAGAGGGTGGTAAGTAAAAGTTGTGTGATGCGAGCACCGCACTAGATTTTTTTATTCATAATTGTGAATTTTGTTTGTTTGTTCTGTCATTCAACTTCAGATGGCCCAATAAACTCAAGATAAAAAATTATTTTTGTTTTGTGTAAATGATATTGTACCCGAGCACCACATTGAGGTGATCAGTAAAAATAGATCTGATAAAAGATCTAAAAGATAAGATTTGAGCCGCCCAAGCTATGAGTTGCTCTCAGCTCATTTCAGGCTAGCCACTAGAACAGAGAGAATTTCAGACCAGAGAAGGGCGCCCTTCTATCTTCAAGGACCAAGATACCAAGACCAACATTTATATGCCAGCATAAAAAGGTGAGTTTTATTTGCATAATTCATATAACCTACCACTTTCAATAAAAATACAGTTCACTGAAAAAATAATGTTGAATGTTGCCTAAGTAGAACTCATTAGAGTTATTTGCCTTTTTTAATTAAATTTGGAAAGTTGCCTAAACAATTTTGGTCCACCGGACACAATTATATAGTTTTTTTTTTTGTTGCTAGATTAGTGATGTTTTGCCATAAGTAAAGGAGGAAAATTGACTGGTAGGTTATGAGAGTTTTTGTAAAAATCGTCTATTTCCGGGCTAATATTTTTAATATAGCTTATATCGTTTCTTATGCTGTTGTTACTTATCAGAGGAAGTCAAGCCGTTTAAAGGTTCAAAAATCATAGATAAGATTCCAGGAAAGAACACATAGTGACTTGTTGGAATTAAATGACTTTGTTAAGACTTACGTTAATTCCTTGCTTATTTTGGCCTGCTTTGCTGAACTTGGCATTAATTTTGAAGAAAATTGGTATTGCCTTTAGCAATTAAAATTTAATTTTGAATTTTTATTTTTTTCTTTAAAAACTTTGAAAATGGTGCGGACTAAGGGTACTGAGAGACTTAAAGCTATTAATGATAAAAAAGAAAGGTTGTTTCTTAGAATACAAACCACTTTCGATGTGATTAAGAATCTTCCTACAAGAAAGGAAATTTTTATGGCTAGGGATTCAGAAATTAATACATAACTGGAGAAATTTGAAACAGTGTTGAACAAAATTTCGGTGCTAAATGGATGTTAGAGGAAGAGCATAGGATTGAGGTAAAGGCACCTTGTTTAGCAGCAGAAGAACTTTATTATGAAATAAAAGTTGCTCAAGATAGATTAATTAAAGCTGAGCACGTAATAGTTGTTACTTCTCAACTCAACATGTGTGAACCAGTAGCACATCCTAAATTACCAGAGATATAGATTCCTCAATTTTCCGGACAATACAAACAATTTCATTCACTTAAATCGTTATTTGATGTCCTAATTCATAATCGAAATTCAAGGATATAGTCAAATTTTCTTATCTCAAGTCACTTTTAACTCATCCTGCTTTACAGACTATTTCTTCAATTGAGTTTAATGCATAAAATTACAATTTGGCCTATGATAAATTAGTAAAGCGTTATAGTAATTATTGGATTTACATTCAGAATTTTGTATTATATATATATTATTGAGTATCGTGTTATAATTTACCTTGTATAAATAACAAGGGGGCCCCCTGGTCTCATCCTGTCCTACCCTCTCTCTAAGACGGCGTTGTCTATGTCTAAGCGTCAGATGCTTGAAGACAAAGCACATGGCTTATGGCCCACTTGCTCAGCCGACTTCATGGAAGACAGGCAGTGGCTAACCTTAACGCCCACTTACTCTATTACGAGAGAATTACACCCCTTCGGCTACATACCAGCTCCAAAACATTGGGAGAGCGGCGACATCGAGAGAGAGAGAAGACGGACCACAGGCACGAGACCAGTCCGTCATCAAACTGTATGTTAGAATTGTTATGATTCATTAACACAATAAAACTGATTACCCCTTCAGAGAAATTGCTTGAAAGACCGAAATAAAAGGATATTAACAAATAATTGGTTGCGTCATTCACAAATATTCCTGTGTCGAACTTTTACATTTTTTTATATCACAAGAACAGGGCTCCTGATCTTTTCTGAAATTTCTGGACCAGGAGGCTGCAGTGAGGAAACTCGGCCTTACTGTTAACGAAAAAACGGAATACTTGGTAACCTAGGAGACCACAGGACATGGCACTAGGGTGAGTTTTGGACCCTTCAGGTTCGAACAGGTATCAGAATTCACATACCTGGGCTCGCAGATCACTGTTGATAACTGGATGGACCCAGAGATAAATAAGAGAATTTTGATGGCCAACCGTTGCTATAACGGTATGAGTCAACACATGAAAAGCACCTTGGTGACTGAGCATAGCCTAGCAAAGAAGTCCTCTATAAGACTCTTATCAGACCGGTTTAAAGTTATGCATCAGAGACCCGGACGATAACCAAGGCAGCTGAGCAGGATCTCCTAATATCTGAACGAAACATTCTAAGAAGAATTTATGGTCTAGTGTGTGTGAATGGAGACGAGGAGGAAAAATCAGGAGATCTACCAGCGCTTTAATGAGACCAATATTGCCAATTTTATAAGAGCAGGGCGTCTCAAATGTGCAGATCGTGTGGCCAGAATGAGAGACGACATGATTCCAAAGGTGTGGGTTGAAATCCTGCATGGAGCTCAAAGAGTAGGAAGACCAGAGTTAAGATGGAGGGACAGCGTGGTCAAAGATGCCAGGAAGCTAGGAGTTCGAGACTGGATGGTAGCAGCACATATTAGGGACACCTGGCGGAGGCCATAACTCGCTAAGCAGGTTGTAGATCCATTATAGATAGATAGATAGGCCTGTAAACATGTGGTATGTCTGAACGTACCAGTATTATAACACCACTGCCTGCTCTGTTCCTGTCCTTCCGTTATATAGTGTAGCCTGGAACCGAGAATTTATCCTGAGAAGATAACTGGGTTTCGCT